CATCTGGTGAAAATTTCATGTCATTAGCACCTCTAGTAATATATTTACTGAGAAAAATGTTGACGTGTTGAATACTTATTTTACCCGCTGTGTATACTTTTTTCAGGTACAGTTTTGACCATTTGCAATAGCTTTAAAATACCAAGCAAAAAAAAAGAGCAAAAAAAAAACATAGTGGGTAATATTCACTAAATGAACATGAAATAATAATCTGAAAAGAACACATATTTCTATGCACACTAAAAATCATGAGATTTTGCTACAATTAAATCTTTCTGTACCTCAARATATTTGTTACATCTGTTCAAATTTTGTGTACATATTGAGCTAAAATCTACATTTCAACACTGAATTTTTTTACATTTGACTCATTTTTTATTATCAACTTCATGCTATATTTGACATTTTTTGTGTGGTTGTACACAGGGATGGATTTTCTAAAACATGACTGAACATGACTTTAAAAAAGCAGAACATCATGTCTTACCAAATAAATAAATAAATAAAAAATCCCTGCTACAGATACATTTCCCAAAATAATCAGGGTATTGACAAAGCCAGCTGAGGGAGCACTCTAAAAATGAAATGTTGGATTTACTTAACCATGTTATGTGACCTGGTTCCACTTAACTGAGTTGAGTAAATTCAAAGCAATATACTCATGTTCTTTGGTTAAAAAACTGGTATGTTGCTTTGTATTTACTCAACTCAGTTAAGTGGAACCAGGTCACATAACATGGTTAAGTAAATCCAACATTTCATTTTTTACAGTGAGGAGAACAAGTTTTCTTCAGCTTGGCTCTATCCATGTACATTATTTTGCTCAACTTTTCACTTTTAATTAATGATATTTATAGATACATTCTGTTGAAACGCTGCAGCTCCAAGAGCTTGAATCTGGGCTCACCATCATGACCTACCTGGACATTTAAAGCTGTGCTAAAAATATTCTCATCCTAACGTTGAGTCAAGTGACAAATGGCATGCAGACAAAGTCAGCGTTAGGTTGTCGATTTCATAATCAAAGAAGCAGCTACTGTACTTCCTTCCAGAGCTGGAGGACTGAACAGCGTTAAAAGAACCCAGACTGTTGGACCAAGATGATTGGACGCAAGGAGAGCCAATGATGTTCCATGTCTGCTGGAAAACAAGAAATGGATGACTTCTATACTAATTTCCATGAAAGAATTGAAAACTGAGACAATGTATACATTATTAAGGTAAAATATGATTTAAAACATATTTAACCTACATTTAATAGGAAATACTGTAGTTAAAGATGTGTGAACATGTTTTTGTTAAGGGATGTGCTGTGAACATGTTATGTCGGACCCCATGCATACAAAATAAACTAAACATGCCATTTTTTCGAATATGGAGATGAAAATATGCAGCATGCTTTTTATGGGTTTTGGGTAAAATTTTGCACACATACACATTACCACACCAGTTACTATACCAGATTTATTAAGCTCAATAATAAAATCAAAATATGAATGGAATAAAACAAGTGCAGCACTAATTAAATCTGTTTTATCCTCTTTTCATTCATTTCTTAACCATGCATTTTGACATGCTCTTCACATACCACCCAGCTGACATGATGACTCTTCCTATTTCAGCATTGACAAACTTCCTTCCAAACATACTGCTCTGGTAAGATTAAATGTTTAAAATTCAAGATGCCAAATTGTTCTGAATCTGACACACTGAGGACATGTAATGCATTATGAAATAAATACTAATTTCAAGAGCAGTGAGTAGAGTTTTAATGACTAAGTCCTGACTTATTTTTCTTAGAATTTTCCCAATTTGAAAAAAGCTTAACTGAGTACTTGAGAATAATGTCWATTGCATGGTRGAGTTTTAACTTGCACTTGTAGACGTAGAGATGAAGTGTTCACTGACAACAGTTAATGTTCTTGAGCCCATGTGGCAATATCTGTTTCAGAATTATGTCAGTTTTTAATGCAGTGCTGCCTGAGGGATAGGCGGTCATGGGAAATCAAAGTCGGTTTTCAGCCTTCCTGCTTACTTACTTAAATCAGTGTAGATGAAGAAATATCTAAATTACTTGCACCTGAACATTAAGAAATGTTCTTAAACTGTTGGACTATTTGCTCACGCAGTTGTTCACAAAGTGAACCTCACCCCATCCTTTCTTGYGAACAACTGAGCCTTTTGCTCTCTTTTTAACCAGTCACGATACTCACCTGTTTCCACTAAACCTGTGCACCCATGGAATGCTCCAGACAGGTGTTTTTTGAGCATTCCTCAGCGTTCCCAGTCTTTTGTTGACTTTGTCCCAGCTTGTTGCATTGTGTTGCAGGAATTAAATTCAAAATGAGCGAATATTTGCAAAGAAAAAAATCTGTTTCAACRCTAGTTATCGTCTTTRTMGTGTATTCAATTGAAYGTAGGTTGAAAAGGATTTGTACATCAMTGTATTCTGTTTTTATTTATGTTTTACACAACATCCCAGCTTCGKTGGAATTGGGGTTGTACATAATCTCACCTTCCTCAATATAAATTGCATTTRTACACACCTACAACAAATGCTTTTTGTTCTGGATCTATTTTCCTTCTCAGATCTGCCACTAACAGAGTGCCCTCCTCAGCCCTGACTCTGAGGGTTGGTGATAATACTCTGTCTCCTCCCCACTGCTTCTTTGCCTTTTCTCCCTCTCATCTCTTCTCTTACTCTCTCCTTCTGCTCACATTGGTCCCATCCCTCTCCCCCCCCACCTCTCTCTCTCTCTCTCTTACTCCTCTACATCTCTGTCAGTCACTCACAGACTCCCACCAAGCTCTCTCAGGGCACCATCTCCAACCATCGGTGATCCTCCTCGGGTCTGCGTTTTTGCCAGGTGGACGCAATCCCCACCACCACACAGCCACCATTTCAGCCCCGGAGAGCTCCAGGCTGGCAGCACAGCCCCTCCCCAGGCTGAGCATCGGGCGAAAAACCCTGGTGGCAGCTGCAGTGGGGGTCATGCTGGTCCTGGTTCTGGTGGTCCTCATCCCCGTGCTGGTCAGCTCCGTCGGCACGGGCGGCACGGACGACAGCGTGAGCCACTACGAGATGCTGGGCACCTGCCGGATGGTGTGCGACCCCTTCCCCAGCACCCCGGGCACAGGAGTACACACGGGCACAGACACGTCAACCACCAGCTTTCTGGTGGACAACGAGGACGATCCGAGTGACCACAGCATCGGCCCACCCTTACCCACCTACAGTGCTCATGGRCCGCAAGGTAAACAGGGACGTCCTGGCAAGCCTGGACCCCCGGGACCCCCCGGAGAGCCAGGTCCACCAGGACCAAGAGGGCCACCGGGAGACAACGCAGACCTTGTCCGGACAGGGATCCTCGGGGCAGTGAGCACAACCACCTACAACACCACTCCTCGGGTGGCGTTTTACGCAGGACTGCGAAACCCTCAAGAAGGTTACGACGTGCTGCGATTTGATGACATTGTGACAAACATCGGGGGCAACTACGAAGGTGCAACGGGGAAGTTCACCTGTAAGATCCCAGGGACGTACTTTTTCATCTACAACGTGCTGATGAGAGGAGGAGACGGCACCAGCATGTGGGCTGACCTGATCAAAAATGGTCTGGTGGGTGACATTTTCAACACCAAMTTATTTAGCATCTTACCTTTTGCTAATTCAAATACATGTGTGTACAGGTTTTWACCTTTTTCTTTTAAAGTGTTCTTATCCTTAATCCCAAAGAGTGAAGGACTCGCTTCAAATTGCTCAGGGAACAATGCAACCAGTGTGCAGGCGCTCCAAATCGGGCATCCATGTGTGCAATGAAATTAGACTTAGCCTGGTGTTGCAATCTGGTATAATGACAATTCACACTGACATGCTGCCAGATTGTATATCTGTACATAACGCACATCTTATGATGTACGAGTCAACCTGAGTGGAAGGAGTGCAGCTCGTATCTCCGCTGTGCACACATGAAAATACAACCCCGGGGTTGTGGCTAGTTCAAAGCTGCTGCCCTTTAAAAATACAATAAACTTCATGAAATCTTGATGTACCTGTGCAATCCATCAGGCTGTCTGTCAAGCCAAAGCCTTTAAACATCAATTCATGATATTTTGCTCATTTCGTGAATAATTTTGTGAAGTCCAAAAGGCCCGAGGGGGATGACGCTGATCAAACGGCTCACGTATCAGAGTCTAAACACTGCGATGCAAACATCTCACCCGGACTTCAACAGGAGACTGGACAAAATAACAAACTCCTCTGCCTCACAGTGCAATCTAATACGACACAGTTTTACAGAGGAACTGAAAGTTAGGATTAAATTGTAAAAGAAACTTTAAATCAGGACAAAAACTTTGCCAGAGCACCAGTTACAGTTTTGCAGCGAAAGTCAAACAATGCAACACATAATGGATCCATAAAGTTTCCTGAATAAAGAAGTCATGGATTGAGGTTTTGGACAAATAAATAAATAAATAAATAAATAAATAAATAAATAAATAAATAAATAAATAAAATAAACCTCATTAAGATGCCAAAATTCACAACTTCACTGATCCAAAACATTAACGTATCATGTAGCCTTTTGTATAAAGCCAGAAAATCACTTTTTTCATTCATTGAGATGTGATTAAAAAAAGGATTTAAACTTTGATGAGCATAAAGTTTAGACTGACATCTATAACATACAGCACCAATACAGTCCCCACATTATATCATGTTCTCTGTTTATTAAGGATCACTTATGTAACTGTCGTGGAAACTTGGCTTGGAGCAAATTAAAGGCAATTTAACCATAAATTYTGAAAAGAAGAAATATTTTAAAATGGAAAATAGCTTACCATCCACACTTAGCCAATGATGTGCTTTATCATAAATATGATAATCACATAAGAGCTGGAATAAACAATCACTAGCTCTTTTCTTTTTGATATAATGCGTTCAGTTCAGTCAAAGATGCTTCTTTTTGCTACTTCCCTCTTCAAAGAATAGGATTTTGAATGCCAGCAATTTATGATTAGATTAAGTTTGGATGGACTCGGTGTTGTTAAAAGATGCATTGCTTTAACGTCAAATAAATCCATCATCATGTTGATCATCATCATGTTTGCCTCTTAACACACACTTCAAACCCATGGGCACACTGGAGGACTTACTTTAGTTTGACTAACCTGTCGCACAGCCTTTTTGAAGCTGGGATTATATTTTTATGGTCGGYGGGGTAAAGCTGCAATAGAAGATCATTAAACATTAGCTTAAGCTAAAAGGGATATGTCTCCCAGCGTGCGTGAGGCGAAACTCACCCCCCTCCAGACAGCCAAGGAGATTTGGGTATAATGCTCCCTAACCAAYACCCTCTGTAATTACCCAGTGTTGACACAATGACACTTATACGCAGCAAAACATGACATTTTCAACGCTTCGCCCAGGAGAAAGGTGGATGTAAGAGCAGAACACGAGGAGAGAGTGTGTGTGCTGCCATCCTTCCTCACAGGCAGTCTGACTCAAGCTTGACCCTTTCATCTGAGTCATAAGATAAAAACAAGATATTCACCACAGGGGACACACTTATCCAAAGTCAAAGTGCGTAAATCAGGACTCACTTTGGGAAAGTTTTCCTTTGGTAACAGAAAATCTGCTTTTATTATAAACAAGAGTGGTCAAAATTACGTGCAGAACCRTGCATATTATTTCACTGAAAGCAATAGTTCAGACTTTTTGAGGTGAGGTTCTGCAGAACGGCCATGAGCAATACATATCATGCATGTTGCAGAAAGCACTTTGGAGACCGGTTTGGAGAAATAGAGTGTAATTTTTGCCAGATTGATGAGCTAAAGGCCAGACCAAGTGTGGCAAAAACCAAAGTAAACTACAACAAACAAAGTAAAAAGTGTAGCAAAGACTGATAAATGTTTACGTCAGTGATTCACACGCTGCAATTCTCAGCTGTCTTTAGGATTGGGCATCGAGCATCGATTAGAACTGAGAATAACTTTATGATTCTTCTAGAATACTTTAAATCTTTTAATTTCAATTCCTCGTTTTGATACTCAGTCTGCCGACTGGAATAAACCCCCGAACACCAACGAAGAAGAGTCCGCAGGGAGTATGTGACCAAACGGGCAGTGTGTGACGCTCTAAAGTGGTCTTAACTTTAATAAAAGAGTAAGATTAAATCGCGCAAAGAAGGGTGCCCGACATGTTTAAGTACCTGCAGCAACAGACTCTGGATATGTGTCAATGTGTTTTCATTGGGATTTTAAAAATAAAGTTCCCCAGTGAACCTACGTGAGAAAAAACTTTGTTGACTCTGCCACTATAAAGAATCGGAACTGGGAATAATCTGGAACTGGAATCAAAACGAGGAACCAGAATCAAAACTTTAACTGTTCAAATTCAAACTAATCCTATAGCTGCCATTGACAAAAAGTTTTGTCRTGAAAAAAAAAAACTGGTCTTCAGTTTAAATCGGTGGTTTGGGGTTCGAAAGTTGAGAAGAACAATCAACAAAGATGTTAAATTTGTTGCTAGTTTCTTTTTTGTAATGTTGCTAGAAATGTATGAATACCACAAATTTAGTGACAAAGTTGATAAGTGGCCAAAACTGCAGGGACAATACATAGAACCAAAAACTGTTTGTAGATATATCCAGGGGTGTCGCTAGGTTTTAAGGACAAGGGGGGCTTAGCCCCCCCCCCCAGGAGATGCACAGAATTTTTGTATATTAAATTCGTATTTTGTGTGTGTGTGTGTGTGTGTGTGTGTGTATACATTCATACATACATACACACACACAATACAAATTTAATATACATCATGCATGTATGCATGCATACATACATACATACATGCATGCACGCGTGTGTGTGTGTGTATACATACATACATACATACATACATACATACACACACACAATACGAATTTAATATACATCATGCACGCATGCATACATACATACATACATGCATGCATGATGTATATTAAATTCGTATTGTGTGTGTGTACGTATGTATGTATGTATACACACACGCATGCATACATACATACATACATACAGTGCAATGTATAATTTCAGTAACATTTATTTAGAGAACAATGTACCTACACTTTCAGATTATTTTTTCCATGGTTATTTTTAAATCATTCAAGGCCAAATAAAATTTTAACATCAATTCAAATATACCCCAAAACATCATCGTATTGAATTCATATTGAATTTTTGTAAAAAAATAATAATTAATTTTTTACACCAAAATAATTTAGGGTGGCTTTAAATTTTTTAGGGGGGCTGGAGCCCCCGTAAAATAGGCCTAGTTATGCCACTGGATATATCTATTTTATTTTGTATGTAAGGTTTTTGTAATTTCTGCACGGCCCACTACTGAATGATCCATGGACTTATGATAGTCCTCGGACCAGCAGCTGGATACAAGTAGGACATTAATTGTTCATATCCTTTCCACAGAACCTCACTTCAAAAGATCTGAGAATCATTTATAAAATATGCTCTCTTTTTTATCGTCAAGCTTTTGAATATTTATATTCCTCTGTGTTCATATTTCTTTACTCATTACCTGCTGGCTTTGTGTCTGTGTGTGACACTCCAGGTCAGGGCCAGCGCCATCGCCCAAGACCAAGACCAGAGTTATGACTACGCCAGCAACAGTGTCATACTTCATTTGGATGCAGGCGATGAGGTTTTTATTAAACTGGATGGGGGCAAAGCTCACGGGGGCAACAGCAACAAATACAGCACCTTCTCAGGGTTCATCCTCTACGCTGACTGACGACCGGACGGGTCGAGGGCTCAGAGGTGAAAGATCACAGGCGGCAGACATTTAACTTTCTGACATTCTCGCAGTTTGGTTATTGTTGCCCCACAGCCACTGATCCACAGTCTGACAGTTTGCAGTGGTCTTTTAAATCTGCATTAAATAAAGTCGTTCTCGCTGTGGATTTGTASTTATTGGTTACTTTCTGCCTCTTCTTTCGTTTCTGTCGGTTGTATTCTGGGTGCCTATGCTGCTGTTATTACGGACGTGAGCAACGTGAAAATGTCAGTCACTGCCATGTGTCATCCTGGGTGGGGTAACGTTTGTGCCAACGCAGAGGCCTCACTGTCATTCCTGAGCTGTCATGTCAAATTCAATCTGGAAATCCAACAATCTGGGTGGCAACAGTCTTTATTGTTTGTGTTTTTTTTTAATTTATTTATTTATTTATTATGTTTTGTTTCTCATGTTTGTACAAATCAAAAAAAAAGTTGGGATGTTGTGAAAAAAAGATTGCAAGGATTTGCAAATCCCATTAACCGATATTTTATTCAAAATGAACATCGTAAACAAACCAGATGGTAAAAGTAAGAATTTACACCACTTTTAGTAAAAAACAATAAATAAAAAAAAGACAATCTTATGACAGATCAGTAAGAGAAGTAGGTATAAAAGTTTTAGAGGAACTGAAACTCTCAGATTTAAAAATGGGCAGATGTTCACCAGATTGAAAAAAAAATAAACGTGTCTAAAATTTGCAGAAAATTTGCAGAATTGTGTTTCCCCAATGGAAAATTAGAAAAAATTAATATTACATCATCTACAGTTTATAATATATCTTCAAAAAAATTTAAGAATACAGAAAAATCTGAGCCCAAAGGACAGATCTCACTCTAATGTAGACATCGATTCCTGGAGCACCTCCACAAATTTGCCATGCTTTCCACAAATGCTGGTTAAAGCTCTATCACGCAGTGGAAGAAGCCATATACGAATACCATCCAGAAACATCATCCTCTCTTTTGTTGTGCTAAAGACTAGAGGAACCATCTCACCTATTATCAATGCTCAGTTTAAAAAAATACCATGCCTCTCTGATGGTATAGGGGTGCATTGGTGAATATGTCATGGGCAACTATCTGGTAAGGCACCATCAATGAAAAATAAGAAGTTTATACAGGTGTAGAACAAAAAATGCTCCCAAGCAGATGGTGTGATTTTCAGGGGAGACCTTGAATATTTCAGCAAGACGATGCCAAACCACAAACAGCGTCCCGCATGGTTTTATTATGGAGGAGTTTGGGTCCAGACATGATCCGCCTAGAGTCCAGACTTACTAATTGAAAATATTGTGTGCATCATGTAACAAAAAAATGACACAAAGACACAGGACTGTTGAACAGTTTTTTTGAGATTTGCAAATGATTGCSTTCTGTTTACATTTAGCTTACACGACATCCCGACTTCTTCAGAGTTTGGGGTGGTCTGATGAGGTATTTTGCATCAGTGGAGGAGGGTTATGCCTTGAGAAATTACTGAAATATTACACATCAGGGTGAGATTTCAATGTTTGAATGCCAGTGTGTCATATCTGCCCATTATAGTTGACATTTTGTATGTGTATAAAATGTAAATTCAATATTGAATTTTGATGTCTTAAAGTCAAAGCAGTATCAGCATTGCATATTCTATTGTGTTTAATTATAATGTACCTGATGATTGATTGATTGCTGTATGATGTCATCATGTAATGTGCTTATTTGTAATTTATCACTTTGAATAATGCATGCAACATGAGTTGAAATGTTCAAAAAATAAGTAAATAATTTAGTTTTGAAAGTTAGCCCGGGGCTCGAGAAGCATTCATTGATGTTGCTTTTACTTGCAAATTTTAATTAAAAGTTACTTTATTTTGCATTTCCTCACATTATAGGCGGCCGGTGTCACTCACCTCTTCTGTTTCCCCGATCAGCTGCTCTGATCCCTCATTATCCTGTGAAACCAGCCTTTAGCCTTCTAAATGTTACACACAAAAGAGCTTCGGCAGCACAGCAAGAGGCAATCAACGCAGAGGATATCACAGCTGTGTTAAATGCCAAATGAAGCGGGAGATTACGGAGCTTCACAATCAAAGCAGAGATGTGCGTTCATGTGACGGGTGCGCAGACGGTTAGAGACAACAGGAGACGGGTGTTCCAACGCATTCTGACAAAGCTCAGATCCACGCCGTAAACGTAATCCAGGGTAAATTAGGCTCTGCTGTGACTGCGACACGAGTGTCAGAGACAAGAAAAAAATAGCTTTCGGGCACAAGCTGTTAAAACTGTTCCATTTTTTTTTTTCCCCCAGCAGCTTCTTTGATGATGTGAAATTCTTCGGACGTGATTCACCTTTGACACGGACCACCAAACCATCTCTGATCTGGCTTGACGCACAAAAGTCAAAGTTCAAGAGGGAAAAAAAAAGTTCTGAAAACTTGTGCAGAGCAGAAAAAAAACGTTCCTTCAGTTAGGAATGTGAAACTTTATTAAAGTTAAAGATCCAACTTTCTGGGAAGGAATGCATGTCATCAGCTGCCTTTTGTGCTGGACTTTAAAACTAAGATCATCTTATTATGAGAAGTGATGGAGTTATAATAGCTTTGGTCAAACCTTGTTAATGACTTTATGCATGCAATATTGAGAGATCTGTTATTGGATCACTTAATGCAGCTACACACAAACATTTAACTCAATAACTGTAAAACTTCAAAAGTTATTCATACATGTAATGATTACTCTCTGTGAGTTTCACAGAAATCCATCCAGTGGTTCAAGAGATATTTTACTAACAATCAGTGTTGTCTTCAGAAGTTAATGCCAAAGTTTTTAGCAATGATGCCGCACAATGTAACACGCTTAAAGCATATTTTGTGGCTGAGCATCAGCTACAAAATATGCTTTAAGCRTGTTACATTGTGCAGCATTGTAACACGCTTWAAGCGTGTTACAATGCTGCACAATGTAACAYGCTTAAAGCATATTTTGTAGCTGATGCTCAGCCACTAGTAAACCAAATTTTAGCTGAATATCTGTAAAACGGATCGAGTTATAGCCATTTGGGGTTTTCTAAATTCAGTTGACTGTGGCGGCCATCTTGAATTGAGTTGGCTCCAAAAGTCAATCATTTGTAGACGTCCAGCCAATGGTCATTTTCTGACAGCTTCAATAAAATCCATCCAGTGGTAAATGAGATATTTTGCTAACAGACAAGCAGAATTAACTAAAAATAATCAGCTTGTAGATAACCGCACACCTGTATGTAATAAAAACCCACCTAAATGTCTGTGAAGAGCTTAAAGTGTGGAGCTGATTCAGACGACGTATTTGACAGATTAATTAATTGCGCCACCGTCTCTTAAACTGCCGGAGGCATCAAAAACCATCGAGGCCTTCTGGTCGAAACTTGAGCGCCAGACAGCAGAACTCCTCCAGACACAATTAGGACTGAAGTTTCTGTGCATAAGCAGAGGTCRTCGGAGCCAGGCGGCCTCAGATCACCGACCCAGGCGGCCTTCTCCTTGCAGGGCGTATGAGCACATCGTCACATTAGAGACTTCATGTCACGACGTCAAAGACAAACGCCCCTGGTGTGTGAGAAACCGCTCTCACTGCTGAGGCGCTCGGAAATCAGCGTGGCCTAAATATCGCCATCTGTCCTGAAGTATTTAAGACGGCAAACTTTAAATAAATTGTTTTATTTTTTCATGTTTCAAGTTAAAAATAAGATAGATATTTTTTTCCATAGCTCTTGAGTGATGGTTTCAGGTTAAAACAAGAACCTCGTTTATAGCATTTTTTTAAAAGCAGTTTATTGAGGTCAGCTAAACACTGTCAACAGCTGTGAGTATTAAAACGTTTGTGGAAACCTCTGCCTAAAGTGTGGACATTTTTTTTTATTGTCAAATATACAGACATTGAGCTAAAGCTCGACGTGGGTTTCTTTGTGCAGTTAAAGCTCCTGAGAGGTTTTGTTTGGTTTGGATGGTGAAGAACTAATGCACGCACAGCTTCCATGTTTAAATGTAATTTAATCTGGGTAAAATTGGAAGTTAAGCTTCCCTTTGAGAGTTAAAGTTGGCAGCCTTTTGTTTATGCAAGCTGCCTCCGTTTCACTGAGCTTTCCAAAGCTTTTCACTTTTAGCAGTCAAAAGGTGTCTGTGTTAGCAAAAAAAAAAAAAATCTCTTAAACCACTCAGCAAATTTTGATGAAACTCAAAAAGTCATCACTGGATGTACATATACAAAAAGGAGCTACAATTCAGTCAATGTTCCAGATCCTGAAGTTTGATGTGGTGCTGTGCACAGTTTTGTTAATCTAACAGCAGAACTAGCTTCTCATTTAGCCAATTAGCTTCCTTGCTAACTTTGGAAACCATTAGCAGACCAGTTAACGTCATAAATCCAGTTCTGCTGGAGGCACTGTGTGTGCAGCATGTAGCATCTTTAGCAGCTAAACTTCCAAGAATTACAAAAAGGAACAAAAGAACATTCAACAATATTTAAATACTAAAAATTGACCACATATAAAAGATGGTAGAGAAAATTTTACCCATCTGTTGTTTGACTTACGTTCAAATGGTATTTATAAAAATACAAACTCGGATCAAAGAAATGCTTTTATTCTGAAAGGGATACGCTTGATTTATCGCAAGTTAGACAGAGATTTAACTGGTTTGGATTGGCCAATTTAGCTGTGCTCATCCCTGCTAAGAGTCATATCTTACATGTTTGTTTTACCAAAACAGATCCACAGCTGTCATTTCTCAAAACTAGTCGGAGATATGCATCCTTTCACAGAACCCTGGGTCTTTCATTTCTTCTGTACTGCCTTTTACTTGTAAAAAAAAAAAAGGCTGATTTAATTTAGGTCATCTTTAGTAACTAAAGAAATGTAACTAAAGAAAATTTCAATTTCTTCACTTTCACTCACTACCCATCAGGAAACTGAGATGGCTGCAGTCTGACATTTGCAGGGGCAAAATGTTGAGGCATGAGGCTTATCAGGCTACTGCAGGGAGGTTTTTGTGGCGAAGTGTGTGTGTGTGTGTGTGTGTGTGTGTCTGGGTCAGTGCGCCTGTGCGTTTCTTCATGTCTCCGTGAGACAGGAAGCTGCCTCCCCCCCTGGAACGTCTGAAGTGACGTTAATGAGCCCTTGCTGTTGTTATCTTGAGCATCCCCACTTAACTCACCGGGGGAGATCCAAATCGGAGATAGACGCTTAAACTGTCGAGCTAAATTGCCGTTCATGCTACAAGCGCAGCACAGGGCCCCCTCCAACAGAACGTGCCGAGCCACCTTCAGAAGAATTAATGCTTTTTTAAGTCGTGCAAACGTCGTTTTGTCACAGCGACTTAGAAAATCCCCACCAACTTTCTTTTAATTATTCGTTCTGACAAGGTGCAAACAGCGTGCGCGGGCAAAGAAAAACAACAAAAACAGCCCACACGCCTCTGYCACACACTGTTACAGATCAGTGGTCTTCAAGTAAAAGTCAGCGAGTCTGCCTGAAGAAATGCTTCTTTATCAAAGATAGAGGCAGAGAGGAACCGTGAGCCAGACGTGGAAGTTGTTACAAGTTGTAGAAAAGCTGGATTTGGGGACTCCTACTTTAGATGTGTTAAAGCTAGATCAGATCAGACATGGTCCCTCGTAACCCCTAAACTGCACAGACTGGGATTATTGAAATGTTTCATCAATGTCGCTGTCTAGGAAGCTCTACTAAAACCAAAATTTGGTCATCCTAACACTTTCTTTGACGTCAATAACTTGTGACATTGAACAGAATCTTCCCAGATGAGCTGCCAGCGCCTCCAGAGCTGAAGGGTCACCACAAGCCTGAGTTTATCACCTTTCATGTTAAAAATAACCAGCTGACCTCATTCTCGGGGCCATGGTATGATGTGAAACACAACCACCTCTCTTTCACCACTTAAATGAAGAGATTTTTGTTTGAAAACATGTCAGGAACATTAGTTTTTAGGAGTGGAAGACCTCAAAGAAGGAAAAAAAAAAAACTGACGGTTTAGAGGTTGCTGCTGTCCGCAGGTCTGCACCGAGGCTTCAGGATTTCCAGAGGATTTGAAACAAGGCAGAAAGAAAGACTTTGCTAAGAAAGGATGCAAGATCTGTGATTACCTCAAAATGAGTTGCTGGATTAATGAGGGGGTGTATTTCAAGCCGTGGTAGCACTAATCAGAGACTTGCTGGCCGCCCACTGAAAATGTCGTATTAGACAACTTTTGCAGCCACGCTCTGGAAAAACATTATTCCACATAAACATCAGAGGAAGCTTCAGTTTCCAACACCTCAGTGTGTAGGACATTCATCTTCAAGGTATTTATATTAAAGATCTTTTTTTATTATTATTTAATTGATTTTCAAACTTTTTAAGTCCAGCCAACATTTACTACAAGCTTAGTTTGAGTCCCATCAGGTAAGTTCTTCTTTGATGTGTCCTGACGTATCTCAGTAATCCAGGTAGAAAAAAATCAAAAAGAAAAAATAAGTAGGTCCTCTGGAGGGGTTCTTCTTTTGTAAAATGTTTCGTCTCTCGTCCAAGAGACTTCTACAGACAAAAGACAAAACAAGGGGACRTTGAGCMMCGCCTGCACTCACTACATACACATCAACTTTGATGTCATCTTTCACTTTTTCCCTTTGTCTCCTTTTTATTGTTGAATCATGAACCTTAACTGTGGCGAGACCCACAGTTCTTCAGATGTTCTGATATATTTCGGTACTTCCTGGATTACTTGTTGAAGGATTAATTTTGGTTGGCTGGCCGCGCCTGGGAAGGTTCTCTACTGTTCCATGTTTTCTCCATTTGTGGCTCTATTTAAAAAGGTATTAAACGCTAAGCATCAACATTATTCTGAACTATATCAAATGGAACAGTTGAAAAGATTAACAGAAAAGGCTGAGGAGAGAGAGAGGAAAAAAAACAGATTCAGATTCACAACTGTACGAATCCTTGCACTTCATGAACATGACATGTTATCCTCCCCCTTTTCACCCCCACGATCATCCTGGGTATGGCCACTGCCCACCGTGCCAGTGACTTAATACAGACGGCCTTGTTGTTCCCTCATGTCCCTGACTGAGCCGGGCTAACACGCAGGGACAGGTTGAGTCATGTTGCTGGAGATGCTCCGCTGGCGTGTTGCCTGTCTCTTCACCTCACCACAGACTCATGGATGCAGTCTGACGTTAGACTACAGAAGCGCTGCGAGTGCCCCTTTTCCTCAGTGTGACGCGGGACGCCAGAGTTCAAGAACACTATGGTGGTTGTAGTTTCTCGGGCCAGTTTGTTCCGCTTGGTGTCAATATGCGTTCGAGGCCTTTTGTGCTCGCAGAGAGGGGATATCCCTTTGGCTTTGGGGAGCTTTTATGTTCAAAACAGTGGCTTGGATTTGCAGAGTCCTCATGGGTCTTCGTCCATGATTCCATGGTTTAAATGTGATGGATGATGCAATCAGAAAGTGAAGCATCTTGTCTTGGAGTTTCCTACCATCTGCACTATCCATCAACTCAACCTTGGGTCGCATTTCCTCTTGCGTCCACATTCTGGGGAACTACAGCTCTTGCCTTGGCGTTCTCTGCTTCGTGGTCAGTGTGGTGCTTCACAATGATACCAAACTACCCAGCAGCATGTTTGTTCCCTTTAAACAGGCTGAACGGCTGATGAGAGGCTCGAAGGCCACTGTGATACTAATTAAGGTTGAACGCTTAGTTTGAAACATGACTATAATGCAAAGATGAATGGTCTCTTTAAGGGTACCAACAAGTCTGTTCATATTATTTCAGCATCGCTTTGTAAGAAAACAAATCATTTATTTTCGCATTAGTTTCACCCCATCACATACTTTTGGCATGCAGATGTTATTTTACATGTAAAGGGTACCCACAAATTTATTGGTGTCTGTATAAAATTCATTGCAAGTTTAGCAGTGTGAAAACAAGACTCTAGAATTCAGACTTCAAATACATTTGGCTGTCACAAATTTTTAATTATCTGAAGTTGTTCATCGGAGCTACTGTTTCTTTCCTTGTCCTTTACGCATGCTGTTTTACCTTCCCTCGTGGTGGTAGTGTAAGCGCGGGAGATGATGAAAAACCATTCAGACAAGAGATTCCAAAATGTCGACGCTCTAGGGTGCCACAGGCCAACTCTTTSAACAAGATGGTGAGATTATACGTCTTTACCCCCTGCCACAGGAAAATTATTGGGTCTGTTCCTGGAAAGGACCCATWACAGACACTAAAACAGCAGGTGCACTTCTACAAAGTGAGTCGAAACAACTTCTGACTTTTACCGCCTCAGATTTGAAGCTACTTAATATTCAGCCRGAGACTTTCCCACCATTACTCGCCTGGAGTCCTAACACTTGCCGGTACAGATATAGACCTCTGCTCACTTACTGCATCTCGCCTTTGTCTGGGGAAAATAAAGCTGAGCAGCAACTAAAGTGTCGAAATTGGATTGGGATGTAAATGGACCAGAATCATTTTCATCGCTCAACTTGATTGAAAACCCTGGAATGAGTGGATTACTTTGCTAATTATTTGTGCAATTTACAAGGAATTTTGTTTATTACACGTGTGTCTAAGTGTGTTTTCATACAGCCTTCGGTTGACTGCCCCCGCATGCCTCAGCCCAAGTCACTTTGCATTAATGCTGCAGCGTCTTGATACAAAYGAAGAGCAGACCAATATATGGCTTTAGATGGAGCCAAGTGAGCCACATCCACTTGGTGAGGCCTCAGCGCCAGGATGATGTAACCACACCTGCCTGTGGGCCTGATTTCTCATGTCTGAGCAAGGACGTCATTCATAAGAGCTCACTAAATTCATTATTTCCTCTCCTAAAGACCTGTCACTTGGACGTTTTCCTGTAAGATCTAATAAATGAAGAAATTCTTGTCCCTAGAGATGATGCGTTTCATGTTTTATCATCAGTGACGCAAACCATTAGTAAATTTTTTTCCTTTTTTTTGTGGCTCTGAAAAGGTTATCGTTGTTGTTTTAACACTATGGACAAACATTTGAGCAGACATGTAAATTCATTTAAAATCCAACAAGTGCTGCCTGCTTGACTGAAACAAAGCGATTTATCGTCACTCGTTTCAAGACTTTAAATGTGGATTGGGAAATGTAAGAACTATTGGAGAATTATCCTTCAATAGCACATTTTTGTGTGTGTGTGTGTGTGTGTGTGATCATGATAAAAACGTGAATATATTGCTTTCAAAACTTAACATGTGGTTAATGTTTGTATATTTTACATTTCTCCCCATAAAAGTACAAATAATAAAAGTACAAATTATGAAAACGTTTTGTTTTGAACTTGGGTAAAAGATTTGTTTCAGTTAAACTATTTATGATGTTGTCTGTCTGGTGACATTGGATAAAAGAAATTGTGGCCACAAGGTAAGTTTGAGCAGCTGTGTCTCTTTGTGAGAGATACAGAGTCAGATTATATTTTATAGTATTTATGAGATGACCAATAATAACCCTTGGTTTGTGTCAGGAAACAGATCTCTTTATTTTTTTCTGAAAGTATAACTATAACCCCTTCTCTAGCAAAGGCACGGTGTGAGAGAAGAGCCTGTTTTGAGTGATGAACTTCAAAAAATAAAATAAAATAAAAAAGCTTTTCAGACAAAGACGATCAAGCCATCACCTGTGTCTTACAGCGGCAACATATTATGCTAAGAATTACTTCCTGTTTAACGTAAGTGACTGAAGTATGTCATTCCTTCCTATATTCAAATAAAATAAAATTAATTAAACGTATCCGTGTAAACAGTCACTGCATGGAAATATCTGCTATAATCATCTCGTGGACACATGGCAATGCACAGTCATGAGAATTATTAGTATTATTTTTTACCCAACATCACCAGATGGATGGGCTCCGTAGTTTTTCAACAAATAATAAGCTGATTTTGACTTTAAACGCTTAATTTGACAAACTCTCCACCTGTTACCAAATGTGTAAAAAAAAATCTATTCCAACTACAAAGCTTCAACATTAAGTGTCCTCAGTTCCCAAGCACTTATTGAGTGTTGTTAAAAGGAAAAAGTGATGTAACACAGAGGTAAACAAGCCACAGTCCCAACTTTTTTGGAAGGTGTTGCAAGCATCTGTTCAAAATTAAGTGAATATTAGCAAAAAAATCAATAAAGTTTATCCATTTGAACATAAAATATCTTGCCTTTTTAATATATTGAGATTGAAAAAGATTTGAAAATCATTGTATTATGTTTTCATTTAGGTTTTACACAACTTCATTGGAATGGGGTTGTAGTTCAGGCCTATAAAAGAAACAAGACACTAAATCACAAATAAACTCCCAGATAAATGAACACATCATGCTGTTGTTACTTTAAAACAGTGCTCTGGTGTATTATATTTAATTTAAACATATCTGGTTACAAACGTTTTAGTTACAAGTGTGCAAAGAAAAAAAAAACTAAAATTAGACTTTTTACAGACACGGCCTCGAAGGTAAGAAAATACAGTGATAAATATGAAATCAGTTCTTCCTACTGTTCCCAGTAAAAACGGATTGTCTAATACATTCTGTCATACATCTTCACATTACAATAAATACATAACTTTCTTAGGTTTTTCATTTGAGTTTAAGAAGCACTACAATTTTCAAATGTTGTTAAAAAATGTGAGCTTGTGCAAAATAAATGAGAAAAAATTAAAAAGGGGGAATTTCTGCATCTTTAAAGCTGCTGTGGCCTCATTAGAACCAAAAAACATGTTTTAAAAAGCAGAATGAAATCCATTTTACTAATAGAATTGACCGTTTTGCTCGGTCATATTGCATCAAATAAAAATTTAGTCGCATCTTTTGAACAAGTTACTTCCATGAGTAAGTTTGTTCAGCAACTGAGTTTCTACTCTGTTGCCTTCATTGTTTCGTGTCTTTGAGGAAAATAAAGACAACATTGCACATAAAAACCCTTCACACTAAACCTCATTTGTCAGTGAGTTTCCTAAGCTGTGTGTTAAACTGTCAACATAAAATGCCACACCGCTGCGCTGTAGTGCTAGGTGCTGTGAAAGTAATTTCACAGTAAATTGCATCAGTGCCATCGACCTGACTTTTTTTTTTCTGACTCTACTCACAGTCTCCCATCTGAGCTCATCTTATGTTGAACCCTCGTTCCAACAGCTCTGTTAGGACAAGAGGAGCTTGGCGGCGTAGAGAAGTATCCCACCCAGACCGGCGGTGGCAGCGATGGCGATGACCCTCACTAAAAGGAAGTCCATGGAGTCCTCCAGCTTCGTGTGCAGCCTCAAAACCTGCCGATGGGTGTCCTCCCGGCTCCCCGAGTTCTCGATGACATGACTGGCCAGGCCGCGCTTTTCGTTAAGTGGCATCTGAGCRGCCACACGCTGCTCGGCCTGCTCCTGGTTCAGGCCGTCCCTCTGCATCAGGCGCTGCAGCTGAGTGGCAGGGTCGCTGGAACGGAATCGAAGAATGGAAAAAGTTGGGTTATTTTTCTGGAAAGCAGGGAGTTGTACTAATGAGACAGAAACATTCAGAGAAGGGTAGCAGCATTTCACAAAACCGGTTTTAACAACTTGTTTATGTCAAAAACAAACCTTAAAATATCCAATTATCTGAAGAAAACTGACTTAAAAGTGGTCTTACCAGTAAACTACCACAGTGTGGTTCAGAAACTTAGTGAGTCGTCTAGTCTCAAAGAGGAGGGGCACGTCCAAGACCACATAGCGGTACCCTGGGGAGAAATAAGTAGCGTCAGCACATTTACACTCTGCACAAAATCCAATGAAGTTCAATTACACATAAATTGTGCATWCAAATTAAGGAACTTATGTTTTGGCTGAAGCACAAAAGACAAAATATTTATATTTTTAAGGATTGTTTCATTGCTAATAGATTTTAGAATTACCTCAAAGCAGTGGCATCACTAGGCCTATTTTAGGGGGGCTGGAGCC